ACGAATAGCAAACTAGTCAGAGCTGGTGCTACATTATAACAACAATGTGCACACGTGCTGTTATAATGATTAAACCACACACCAATACCTGATACTTATACTATTCATTCGTAGATACTTCCTTATACTATCCATTCGTGAATAGTATAAGCATGCTTACGGTAAGGTGTGGCCGCCCAGGGTAACGTTGCTGCTACATCGCTCACACTTCTGTTGATCAACGGTTACTGACTTTCATAGTAAACATTTTTAAACAGTACGCAGTCATGGTGGCGAATATTTAATAAATGAATCGACGTGAAAATAAACGCATACGTAAAGTTACCATGTAATATCTTTAATTTATTAGATGTTTAAAATTGTTAATCAATGATTTTAATGTTGAAATAAAAAAAAGGTTGTTTAATTACATTGGATCATAACGTATGTCAAAATTAACATAATAATGGCGCGTTTTACTTCAATGGTCGCATTTCTATTGAAAGTATAGTGTCATTGATAATTTGATCTTTGATACTTTGATCTTTCATACATTGATTGCTTTGATCTTTAGTTTATTCATAGCTATGTCACTTACTAGGGGTAATGTTTTGATTATTCAAACACTTTTGGTACTTTGCATATAAGTTTGCTCATTCCTGATGATGACATAATTAATGTCGAAATATTGAATCCCGACATGATGGCGTGCATTTCGATATTTGGAGTATGTATTATACTATCTTTATTAGTGTCATTGACGTTTATAAGGTCATAAATTACCTTTCACAACCTAATTTCATAAGCATGTCAAATAATGTAGATTTAAATTGTGGTTGAAATCGAGATTACAGACCCAAAGGCGGAGACATACACAGGGGTGAGCCCCAGTGAAGACCTTTGGGAGCCAAGCGATTAATAAATTAGGAGGGGAAGCAAGGTCTAGCCCCACTTCCAAACTAAGAAAAATAGAATGAAAAGAAAGGAGAAAGAGGGGAGCATGGTACGCCAAAACAAGCTAATTTCGATTAAAATTACATGTGCCATGGATCTAGCATATCTAAACAAAAGTCCAAAGCATCCCCTCTCCTTCAAAGAAGGCAATTACGAAGCTTTTGCTTTGGAAATTAAAGAAACATCATGGCAGATCCTTTTTCGAAAGAAAACAGTAAATAAAAAATGAGAGGCATTCAAGGAAGTTTCCAATAATTGCATCTACCTCATAAGTTAGTAAAAGCTAAAGACATAAGCCACCTTGGATAAATTATAGGCCTATACAGTATCTGTAAACAAAATCCAAACGAAAACCAATATTAATGGGTTTTTTTTCTGCAGTGTCTTAATGATGAACCTGAAATGATGAATTCAATACCATTTAAAACAAGAGTCACATTCAATATTCGTGAGAAGTTAAAATGGCTGAAACCAAATAAATCTTCTGAACCTGATGGTGTTCACGTGAATGTATTACGACAACTTTCAGATTTGGCCATTCTATTTGCAATTGTCTTTCAGCACTCCAGCACATCAGAATATACACCAAGAGATTGGAGGGATGCTAATGCAACACAATTGCATAAAAAGGACCAAGAACCAATTGCAATAACTATAGACAAGTACGTCGATCTGTGGTTTAAAGGGTTGGGTGGGGTGGGAGACGAATTGCGAAACATGGAAGTCTTTAAAGCCGCAGGGATAAGCCTTGGCTGGAGGCCAGGGGGCGCCTAGGGCCACCGATGGGGGTCTAGGGGGCGAAGCACCGGGAGGCTCTTCCGTCTATAGCCTTTTGTAAGTCATATTTAATTGACTTTAGGGAATGCAATTAACATTTATGTCCATACTACTTTTTAAAAATACAGTGGCGGATCCAGGAATTCAAAATAGAGGGGACCCAGGGAGAGACTTTTACAGATAAATTGTAGACAACCTCAGCCACCCCCACCCCCCATAGTAACAAAATTTATGATTATGGCACCTCTAGTTGACCGGAAATGGCACTCTCAGACTTAAATTTGAATATAATTTTCTTTTTTCTCCACTTTTAAATTTTAAACAAATTTAGGGAGGGTGGGCTGGTTGGGCTTTCTTGAATCTGCCACTGAAATACTCATCATAAACAGTTTTTCAATTTATTCTGGTATTCATGATTATACCCGCTTATATATTTCGTGCAACCGAACTTTTATAAAAAATAATGATTTATTATCCTGATTAGCTTGTGACGTTTTCGAACCATGAAAAACAAATCAGATAAACTTAAATCAGTCACTCTAATTTAGTCTTTTTGCATGTAATAAACAGTACAGTAGAACCCCTATCGGAACCAAAAAAGGTGTCCCTTAATAGGGGTGTCCCTGAATAGGGGCACTCCTATTAATGGGACACTAACCAAAAACGCGACATTGTCCCCTTAATAGGGTTTTTTGACATATTTTCATACAACGATAACAACATTCTTTATAATTTATTTTTATTGACATAAGAATCAGTTTAAGTAGAATTACAACTAATTTATAGAAATAATTTGCAATGCAAATACAATTCCTTTATAATACGAAACTAGCACAAATGTAGTAATTAAAACAATAGTTTTTATGTTGCAGAAGCGGTTTGGTCCAGCGAGAACGGTTTGATTTCCTAAACTCGAGGCCAGGGTTTCAATCTATCGCTGTACATTTCGCTTGTGTCCTTAAGCAAGGCACTTTATCTGCATTGCTTCTCTCCACCCAGGAGTATAAATGGGTACCTAGTGGGGTTACCTACTTCTGCGATGTTTACCAGCCGCAACACTTAAAGCATGTGGACCCAATAAACAGGGAAAAAGAAGCGCTTTGTATCTACAAAGAAAAGGCGCTATATAGGCCTAAAGGATATAAATAATAAAATAATAATAAAATGCTCCCAATATTATTTCATGATGAAAATGTTAATGACCAAATTAATTTTGTTCTAATATGCAGCTTTTTATTGGATGAATTTAGCATGAAAATACACGAAAAACAAAGAAAACTAAATCCCCATGGTTAAGGGTCAATTGACAAGACTGGTTTATATGACGTAACAGATGCAGAAGGCTTTACTCTACTAAGGATTCAGGGGAGAAAGTTCTGGTTTATTGCTCAAAAGGTGTTAAAATATGAAGTTGAATGATTTTTTTTTACTTTGAGACTGCTGTAGTTGTTGTGATACAATGATAGAAAATAAGTGTCCCCACCAAGTATCAGTCAGTCGACTCCGACACTACCTGACAACATGATACCAATATATACAGCTGTGGATCAATATTACACATGGACATGGTGTCAAAAGTAAAGAAAAATACCGGTATTCAAAATAATTGTTATTAATAAATATATCTCATGTTCTTGACAAATATTCGGAATAATTGTTATGAATTAATATTATTAAGTCCGTTTTATTAAAACATGTAACCGAATCATTAACATGTGTATTCGCACATAGTTTGAAATTAATTATTCTCTATTCTATCTGCTCTGCTATATAATGCATTGAGCACTCTTTTCTACATGTAGATGTGTATAAGAGACACAGCGCCGCCATTGATGCACGGTAGAGATTGCATCTTTAGATCTCCAATCTTGTTCCCAAATTCACGGACCAGTGCTGTCTCGTAAGAATTTCGTAGGACGCGTTAAGAATGAAAAAATATTCTCTGTATCTACTGGAACCGAGCCGCATGTATTCCACAAATTTGCATTTTAAATAGTTTAAAATAATAATAATAGTTTAGTTTATATGTGTATACTACACATAATACATATATATATATATATGTATATATATATGTATATATGTATATGTGTAGTATACACATATATATGTATATACACATATACACATATGTGTATATATACATATATATATATGTGTATATACACATATACATACATACATATATATATGTGTATATATACATATACATACATACATATACATATATATACAAACATATATATATATATATATATATATATATATATATATAAAACGTATTGTACACATAGGCCTACTTTCTTAGATAATCCTATGATTACACTAATACATTAAATACTGTATTTATCCGTATACCGTATAGAGTAATATTAAACTGCCAATAAATATTCTCACTCAAAATCATGAAACTTCTATCCGGCGTCAAATCCACAAAATTATTAATTGCCAAAATAAAAATATGTACATAAAAATGTGATCAGGATTAGCAAGCCCGCCTTCTGAAGCTACTAGCCGTAAACGTACAGAAGTGTAGCACATAAACTAGAATTACAGAGCACGAATGTCTTCCTTCTTTCCCGGGTCTGAACTGAACGAATTTATCGTTACTCTCAATTCTATGAGTGCTCACAAACGTGCTGCTGCCTCAATCACAACTCAATGTTAAAATAGTCTTTATTATGTAAGTTACAGTTTTACACAGTATGCAATCATGGTGTTGAATATTAGACAAATTCATCCAATCCAGTATCATAAAAATAAACGCATCCTAATATCAAAGTCTATAATTTAATATATCATTGTCGATTTATATGTCGAAATTAAAAAAAATAGTGTTGAAATACATGTCGAAATGTTTTGGGGTTTTACTACGCGTGCCTGTATGTAAAATAATTTCTTTTTGACCTCAATGGAAATACGTACTACTTCCTTTAAATTATAGCAGCATGATCTTATTTAATACGTGTCGTCACACAATCCGACATACTGTACTTACCTCATAACATTTTACCTCTCAACAGAAATTAGCCTAGCCTACAGTAGACTTACGATGGTCTTATTATTCATCAATGGAAATACGTAGGCCTACTATTTCATTTAAATTATAGCAGCATGATCTCATTTAACTACGTGTCGTCACACAATCCGACATACTGTACTTACCACATAACATTTTACCTCTCATCAGAAATTAGCCTAGCCTTCGGTAGACCTACGATGGTCTTAATATTCATCAATAGAACAAGACTTAAACTGTGGGTTTAAAATCGATAGTAAATGATATAACCACTTCCCAAACCCTCATATCACCGCGTTCTTAAAATCTGGTAAAAATAACATACATAAAACATTGATAAACTATTAGCCCATCTTAAATGTTTTCGAAGCAGTAAAAAAACAAAAAAAAAATTAAAACAGTCACTCTAACCTAGTCTCAATCAAGAGTTTTTCTTTATCTCCTCTTTGTGAACTGCATCTTTGTACAAGTAGGGCCTATTGCACTAAACTATTGTGAGTGGTGTATTTACGATCAAACAGGACTAGGGAGATAGAAAGTACACATAAAACATTAGCTAGCCTTTTTCTTTTCACAAAAAATGTGATTTACTTATTTTATCATTATCATGACGTCATCGGTGAGATTGAGTGAACGTAACGTAGAGGTTAGTAAACAATTGCGGTACTACCACTATATAAAACACTTAAAGAGTTTGTAAAAATATTGGCCTACACCCTTAAACATTTCAAAATTTTAAGTTTTTTCAAACCTTGTAAAACAACATCAGTGTGGACCCATTTTAAGCGTAAATTCAAATAATGTGGACACAATTCTTTAATAATTGACCAATTATCCGCATATTCATAAATGCATAAATATGAGAAATCTGGACCCACGTTTTTTAAAACGTGGACCGCATTTTGAGCATAAAACAACATTTTAGATCCTTTAAAAAGCAAAACAAAACAAAACAAAAAACGTGGCCCCGGCATTCTTTGAATAAATAGTGTGGACCCAATAGAAGAATTGTGTGGGAATTTCCCAGTGGCGTATCTAGAAGTCTTGAAATGGGGGGTGCTGATGGTGGGGGGCTCGATGATCAGTTGAGGGGCGCTAATTCGCAAAATAAGGTGATTTTTA